TTCTAGCCATCGTTAATGTAATATAGTTGAAATATTCAGTTATAAATCGTTGCCAACACTAACATGTAGATAATTTGATATAAGTTTAATAAAACCTTTTAAATTATGTGCTTAGTGTTATGTATGGCATATAATTCTAATGCTATATACTAAGAATATTAAACTAGTACATATATTTAGATAAAGAATTGTTAACATATTTTGTTTGTTAGTATAATAATTGTATACTTTTTGAACCGTTTTTAAGAGGCTTAACTTTTAACTGGTTTTGTACAAAGATTATAATAAAACTAACCGAATTTATAAAATGTTCTAGGTGGAAAAAATAAACACTTCTTAAATTATCCCTATTTTCTGTTTTGTTTTAAATACCCTTATAAAATGGGAAATTCATAAATAAATATTTGTCATATTATAACCGAGAGTATGATGCAATATTAGTAATAGTATATAGTAATAGTTTAGGACTAATTATTTAAAAACCGTTTTTAAAGTTAACATATTTGTTACTCTTAAGGGTTTTACAAAAACAAAACCATATATTTATAAACTTGTTTTTTCACATAAAATTTACAACAGATCCTTAAGATTACTTAATTACATATATGTTATACATTTTTTTCTAATCCGCGGTACGAAGGTGTCGATCGTGTCGATAAAGTGATCCAATGTCTGGGTGGCGGGGAGGAGAGGAAGTGATAGAAGACGGCTCTAGGAGAGCAAGGAAGAACGTTATAAGGCATAAAAAGGGCTAGGAAGACGAAAGTGGGACAGCGGTGAAAAGAGAGGGATATGTAACTTTAGCAAGTGTCGTCAAGCAGACGCGCTCGTCCCATATTGGTAGAATAGCAATGTTGTATTCAATATTTAAGATCGTTTTTGTATACTCTATATTTTCATACTGTTTCAAGTTTACTAATAAAATTACCGGCTAATAGCGAGTCGACTCGCATAACTAGGGTACCGTTAAAATATTTTAAAATTTCATAAAAATATAGGTAGTTTTTATAGATCGGTTTCCCTGTTTTTTTTTATGTATTAGTTGAAGAACAAATGTTGGGTTATTCATGCCAATTTTGAAATCTTATCACAAACAATTTAAAATCAATCATCAGAAAAATATATATTTGAAATTGTCACTTTAAGTTCTTTCATTTGATAAGTTTTTAAAAAATCAAAGCAATAACTACTTTTAAAAAATCTATTTTGTCCATGTCCGTGAATCGGCCAAATGAATGATGGCCATGTTTAGGTCACTAACTTTTGATGTGAGTGTACCTTCAACTTATTTGTAACTAGTTGTAAAAGTCTTATTACATTACCCGATTTCAAAGACCCGATCGATCAGGTGGCCGGGTCCCCCCTATTTAGAAATTGGACCCTAACTCAGTTTTGCCATTGATTTTCGTCATAATTGTTACCAGAGATTCTTCTAGCTACTATATCTTATTAGTTTGTATTTAATAATATTTTCTATAATCTCTGTCATATATTCATATGTTAATACTAGGATAGCTTATATGACTCATAATACAATAACATTAAAAGTTCTTCATTTTCTTGTTAAAATCTTTTAAATTAACGAGGTAACTTTTAGATAGTCTTAAATACTGATAAATATTTTTAGTCCTAATGAACTTATCAACTTAGATAAGGTTATTCCCTACCTCTTATTACTCTACCTAATCGTCAGGATAAGGAATAAGAGATCCTAGAAATTGGGTAATGTAATAAGGGCTTGAATTATAGCCTATGTCAGTGCGTAGGTCAGGGCTCGGTAATGAGCAACTCTTTTGATATAATGTGGCGCTAAGTTCCATTTATAAAAAAGATTTATTTTATTTTCGAAACTCTTTAAATCATGTAATGGATATAAATGATTTATTGCTGAGAGATAAATATTCAATGTCGTTTGATTGATATAAAATTAAAAAAAAAATTGACACTTTAAAAACTATAAAATTTTGTAAATTGTTGTTTTCCTTCATTTCATACATAAGAGAGCCCACATCTGCCGGATGTGAAAGAATTTTTAAAATCTGTCTCGTATTTTCGGAGCCTAATCAATGCAAACAAATAAATAATCTCTTTATTATATTAACATAGACCAACAAGTCCAAGGTCCAGTAGTATCGGAGATAATCAGCTCTGACAGACGGACACAAGAGTGTTTTAAAAAAGAATTCCGGTTTTTCCTTTTAATATACGGAACTCTAAAAAATCTAAGTTACTGATACCACTAACTAGCTAGAGCTAGACGATACAAAAACTGCACACATAAACATCAACTGTGTGTGTGTCACATTATCGTGTATCATCGAATGTAGTTGTGTTACGTAACGCAAGCGTCAACACACAAGCACGTGGTCGACCACGCTTCTTTTCGTTTACAGCTATGACACACAAGCACCCATACCGCCATATGATGCACACTTCAGTGTAAATGCACCGCAAATTTTTAATTTACCGACGATCTTACCTCATTTTAAGACACGTTATTCTGTTAAAATACAACTTCTGCAATCGAACGCAACACTATCACATTAAAGAGCTCGAATATGAGAAAACCTTTATGAGCTTTCGAAGTAGATTTTATTTAATTGGTGCTAGGTTCTGCCATGGACGAAGTGAGCTGCTCTCGCAGCACGAGAGAGGGGGGTCCCTCGCCCCCCGGCGCTGCCGGCCTGTGCTAAGTATTTACAAAGAACTGACTTGACGGCGCCGGAAGGCTACGGCCCCTGTAAAACACAGGCAGAAGTGTACTGTGAGGGAAGCCCGCGGGACAGCCATGGTGTTAGGCCCTTACAGTCCACGGATTGGATGGGCGAGGGGAGCCCTTGCAAATTTGCCCGTAAGATAGGTCCACCGTTTACGGAAAAGACTGTCAGGCACCCTAGATTTTTCACAGCCCGCAAAATGGAAGACGGAGTAGGGTAGGATCCGGCGGGCTCCTTGCTGGTTCCCGTATCCTTTCCCCCCACTGAGAGTATTCAACTTGACATTCTTTGGACAGGATGGTTGGAGAACCCTGGTTTAAAGCTCAAAATGCATAAATTTTCCCTGCGTTATCCAAAAAAAGATTTTTTAATTGAACCTCTATGCAACGCTGTGCTAGAGGCCAAGTTCGACACTTATTTTATAATAGAATAGAAAATTTGGTTTTCTAAACATCAAAAATAAGGGTATATAAGTATTAGCATTTTTTTAACAAATTATGTAATGAAATGTATTAAATGAAATATTTAATAAAGTTTCTAAAACAATATATAAAATTTGAACTAAAACAGTTTCTAAAATGGGGGATTTCTGTAACTATAGAGGTCGCAGTAAAATTAAAAAAGAATTAGAAAAGACTAATTTGTCTATGGATAACAAGAAATTCTAATGTTCTCCAAAAAAATATTAGTGCCACCCACAGAAAAACACGAGTATTATTTACCGAAACAAGACCGAAACCTTTCACTTCCAAATATAAAGTGAAGATAAATTGATGGTTTTAAATTCTTGATTTAATTAGTACCTATAATAAATTTGCTTGGCGTCCCGCCAAATTACACGTTAATTGCAAATTAGTATATTTGTAAACAAACGTACGTACGTAGATATATATACATACACTATATTATGTGGATATAAATATATCTGCAGCAGTATTCTTTGAAAGCCTAAAAATTTTTATCGAAATTAATTATTAAATTATTTAAGCTGCTTACACCGGATTAAATAATCTTACTAATATAATAATGACTAAAGTTTATATATATAGTTATATTATATATATCTACCGAATAGCTCGGTGCCGTAGTGGATAAGCGCCGCGGCCCGCGATCGTAGTCGTTAAGCAACTTTCGCAAGGGTCGTTCACGGGATGGGTGACCAAAAAATTATTATCTTGATCTACTTCGTCCCTCGGAAGGCACATTAAGCCGTTGGCCCCAGCTGCATTTGCAGTTGTTAATACCATCTAATCCGCATTGGGCCCGCATGGAGGGTCATGGCCCATCCTTCTTAACCATCCATAAGGAAGGCCTGAGCCCTTGCAGTGGGGACGTAAAAGGGCTGGTGATGATGAAATATATATATATAGTTTATACTAGACAGCGATTTCTTCCAGGCAAACTTCCAGGCATTAAGCCCGCATAGTGGGTTATGGCCCATTGATCTTATTCGATTCGACTCCATTCATAGGAAAAAAATAATTCTACCAAAATAGTTCCCACACAGACGAAGTCGCGGGCACAGCTAGTTAAATATATACATATCAATTTATATATAGACTATTTAAATAAAATATATATATTTTTTATATACCTCTATAGATTCTTTATGCATAAACTACTGAACGGATTTTGATGTAATTTGGTATACAGATAATTGTAAGCTTGAATTAACATAAAGGCTATTTTCTACCCCTCTTTAAGTTCCAAAGGGACCACCCGGGCGAAGCCGCTAGTGGAAACCTGAATAGAATGATAGATAATATGTGCGTAGTCCTATTATTCGGGTCTCTTACGGCCTCTCTAAGGCTTCGTATTTGGTTTTTCGATGCTTTAGGTACGCTCCAGATATGGCGGAATATATGTCAAGTGTCTTAAAAATATATACGTTAGTACTCTACGGATTATGTATACGTATACGTCTAGTGTTCAAAATATAATGCCATACCATGTATTTGTCAACTCTGAAGTTCCGCTATTTCTGATTTATATATTTCTTTATATACACAGCATCTCGTCAGACATTGTAGAGTTTATACCGCACGCTTTTCGTATAGAACTTCCTTACTAATAGAGGTCTGCTTACGCTGGTGGGTTATAGCATGACATTTGGCCGTGTGTACATAAAAATCAGTGATTTTGAATGTACGCGCCCTGTTAATCAACTATAATAAAATGTATGAACTGAAAAACTAATAAGATTCAATTATAACAATTATTTTTTGGTTTGTTTAAGTGTTTGGTGATTCAATCGCTAAAGAGGATTCGCCGCAGTTCAGCGCGATGTCGGGCCGTGCGCTGCTGTCTATCCTAAATGGATTTCAACTGACCACCACCTACAGGGGACTTATAGTAGTTGTTTCACAAAATGTACAACAGTACCTTGGTTATACAGAGGTACCCATATTTTAACAAATCATACTTTAGTAATTTAAAAAGAAATTTATTTCAAGTGATTCTACTATGTAACTTATGTGACAGAGTGGTTTTGTGATGAAAATCTCTGTGTTTTATATCGCTCATGATTATAGCCTATGTCACTCGAGTATGATATAGCTTCCCATAGCTTTAAGAATTTTTAAAATGAGTCCAGTAACTGAGTCTCGGACAATCAAATCTTTCCTCTTTATAATATAAGAATAGTATGGTAATGTTTCGCTGTGCGATAATCCAAGACAAAAAAATATATACTTATGGCATGTTTTACTTTATTTTTCACAAAGTAAAGTACAAATTGTTCTCTATAACTCGTATTTATGTAATAAGTAACAATTCTGAACTAAATTGTTCAATAACTATGGATTTATGGAAATCACACACAGTGATATATATATATATATATATATATATGTATAGTTGCTATGCATAATGTCTGGAGGAAATTGCTTTTCATATTGCTATTTAATGCAACGAAACATGATTTATACTTAGATTAGGCTTAGATTATATAATCGAAGGATTTACATAATGACAAATTTTCTTTTTATAAAGACACTAACTGACATAGTTATGCGTTACTATGACTCTGTAATTATTTTAGATTAAATTAATTTGTTTATAATTGAGATAAAAACTATTGAATATATAGTTAGATCTAATTACAGATATATGAGAAAATTTGATCAAAATCGGTTCAAGTGTGTTTTCGAGTTTATCCATGACATACACACAGGACATATATCACTCACGATGTATGTGACGATACGAGATTCATATCTAAATAAATCATAATGACAGTCTGGCTGTCGAATAGTTACTACCTACCTATTATTTTTTATATAAGACAAAATCACTTACATTACTCAGAGACCTAGATAATGGAGTATCACAAACAACGAAGGTACCTACCACAACACTCAGACACGGCGCAACATAAAAACATCAGTATTTTATACTAACCCGACCGATAACACAGCTGTACTCAAAACTTTGGACCTAAGAGATGGTGACACAAGAGAATCAATCGGAAAATTTTGTCTCGCTATAAATACCTCACAGTGCTATTAATAAACAAGGCTTAGCGACAGAGGCAATTTTCGCTAGAATTGCAATTTTAGTATTTATCCAAATTCTTGTTATACAGAGATTAAGCAAACCTATTACCTTCTAGGAGTAACTATTACTCCCGTAGCTCGTGCTCGGTTAACCTTTGCTAAGTCACTATTTAATAATATTAATTTTAATACTATAATAGTAAGTGCTATAATATAATACTAAGTGCAGTCTCAGTGTTAATTTACTCCAACACCAAATCCTGTTTATTAATAAAGCTGTCAGTGTGTAAATTGTGACTGCGCCATTTTATTAAAAAAACGGTATTTTAACTCTGTTACGTTTACTTGCCAAGGAAATTACGGTGTGAAAATACATAAAATCATTGTTATTTTTATGCAGCTTAGTAAAAAACAGGCAAGTGCGAGTTGGACATCAGCACATGAAGTATTCCTTAGGTACCTAAACGAAAAAAAAGACGTATTTTATATGGAAGACCCCGTAGTTTTTTTATTCTGTATTTAGTACTTATTTGCTGTTATAGTTGTGGCTTGCAGGTTTATTAAAATTAAAATAAAGTACTTCATAGAAAACCAATTTTACAGCTGGACCTTTTGGGGCAAAATATCTTTAATCTTATACATGAAGACGATCGCCAGCTGATGAGAGATATGTTGATGCCGAAACCGCACTTGCTAGGCCCTAACGGGGAGCTACTTGTGCCAGATGAACCAGAGGGCAAGAACAAGGTTGCCGAATTACTGGCCCACGATAAAAGGAGATTCATTATCAGGTAAACATAAAATCAGCATTTTATCATTGAGCTATTAATGTCTCCGCTATCATTCAATCGGCCCTTGCGGAAGTTGTTTAATTACAGACCGAACGCACTAACCACTGCACCAAATAAGAAAGACAACAATTAGTATAAATTCGTACCTATTGGTCAGAGCGCAAAGATCCCGTGCTACCGAAATTCGAAAAAAAAAAATGCTCCCACCTAGACTTCGTATAATAAATAAATTGAAGTATTGACATCAATAGAATCACACACATGTTCTTAAAGTGGATATAAAATGATGATAAATCACATTTAGATTAAGTATTTCTTACAGTATTTGTAAGAAATACTTAATCTAAATGTGATAACCTTTTAAAACGGTAAAAATAAACCTTTAATTTAAAGATTCAAAAAGCTGTGCCAGCGTTCGGAGCCCTGCCAATACGCCACATGTCACATCGAAGGCAGCCTGCGGAAATCTGATCGCGCCTGTCATGGTTACAACCGCTGCTGTCAGATGGTGCGGCGTGCCCGCGCTAGAGGCGACAACCCCTGCAACAGTGGAAACGATGTGGTAAATTTAAATATCTAAATATCATACTAGAGGCGTATTTTGAGAGAAAAAGAAAGAGAAGGTAGTGCGTTTTAGATTTTGACGGGTAGGCCAACTTCACTTCACTAGACCGCAGTCCCTTGCAAAGTCCCGGTTTAATCGGCATTTATCCAGGTCGATGAAATGTTGAGATTGACGTTACGTTCGATTAAAAAAATAAAATAAAAAGGGGTAAATCAGCCATTCTGTGAGATGTAATAATTTAAGATCTAATAAATTAAGACCAAATTTAGTAAGAGAAACAAAAAATCGTTACAATGTGGAAGATAGTTAAAAACTTATTTTAAGCGAAATTAAACTAAAAACTTTTTTTAAGCAAAATTAAACCTAATATCAAAAACTGTCAAATACTAATAATAACCATACTTCAATAATAAAGATATCTAAATTTAGTTGTAATATTTTGTTACGGTTCAGATTATTTAGTGTTCAGTTTTAGTGGTAGCAGTATCGAAAAATTTTAGGCGCTATGGATTAAAAAAAATAAATCGCTGTATATTAAAACATGAAACAGATCTCGTGTCCGGATTATCCGATTAGATACCTCACCTATCTGTAATAGGCTCGTCGATAACTTGTTAATTTCCTTATTTTCTCTTTACGCTTATACGCAATCTTTAAAGCCATAAATAATCGTGTTTGCAATCACGGTAAGATGACGGCAATGAAACAAATAAAAAATTCGTTCGAGTACTTCTTACGCAAGCTCTCGTTTATTTCTTTAAACACAGCGTACACGGATTAAGTAATTCTTATATTCTATTCGTATAGTCTTTTTGACTAGTCTCCAAACAATGTACAGGCAGTCGTTTATATGTAAAACTCAAGGGTTAGTTTCCACACGGACTCAAAATATACAAAGCTACATTTATAACAAAGGATATACATACTTTATTATGAAAAGTAAGTAATTAAACTTAAACAATTATAAATGTACTTATGGAATTGCTAGTTATTTTTGGTATTTCAATAATATTAATGAAACTTTAATAATCAAAATATGCAAAGAGAAATATTAAATTAAACTTTTGGCTTTTAAGAAACTATCAATTCTCGATTGCTTAGCTTCTTCTTGCTATCATACAGGTCTTGGTAACACTTATAGGCTGCACTAATTTTGTTATTAACATTAAAACCCCACGAAAATTGACCTCGCGACAAGTGAATTCTCCTATGCGGAAAAACGAAATAATTGACGTATGCTTGAGGAACAGTGTCATAACTTTGTTTGACGTAACTATAAACTACGTAAATAGAAACGACGCAAGTCGAGGACTGCCTGTATAACAAAAAAGTATACACAATACTCTTATTTCCTAATTGGATATTACTATTCATTTTAAAATAATTTCTTAATGAAATCCAAAAGTTTTTTTTTTTAATTACATTGCTTCTGTTCATTTTCATTAATAAATACTATGGTTTTCGCTTGGTGTGACTAAACACTTAGATCAAGCTTCAACAATTACTTCAACAAATTAATTAATTTGGTCCGCTCAATAATACCATATAGCAATCAATGTCTTACGGGTATCGGCTGAAAATCGAAACTGAAGTCTACTGCAATATTACGTTTATGTAGTCTTTAGTAAGTAGGCTAATTTAAAATCTTTTACTCTTGCCGATTGATTTGTTCAATAAAGTGTTCATTCGTAAATTAATTTATCAACAAGTTTGAGTTCGGCAGGTGTTTGTCGGCATCGTGCGGTTGGCCACCGAGACTTTTCTCACCGAAAGTAACATGGAGTGCTACCGCATGGAGTATAGGACGCGGCATTCGATCGATGGACAGATTATACAGAGTGAACAACGCATATCCTTAGTGACCGGCTATATGACACACGAGGTGAACGGGGTAAATGCCATGAACTTTATGCACCGTGACGACGTCCGATGGGTAGTCATCGCACTGCGACAAAGTAAGTATGAAAGGGTCCCATTATCCACTTGTCAACCTTTAGGGTAATGTTGAGACTTAAAGCAAAGGTAGGTGCATACCATTAATAAGATGTTTGAAGAAATAATATCTATTTCTACACTTGTACATTTAGGAAGAAGATTTACACTTACACAAAACAGTTTTCATAGATCTGCCTTATTTTAGTATAAAGTCATGTTATTTTTACGGAATCATTCTGAATTATGTTTACAATGAAAATAATAAGCAAAAACAAATATCTAAAATAACAATTTTATAATTATAAGTTCATTTAATTTATATGTTGGCAAAACAAAATTGACACCATTGTTTGAGATATTTGAATGGACAAAGATTTTTATTAGGGGAAGAAAATGGTGTTGGTTGGTTTTAAAACGAATTCATTTACTATTTTAATTGATTTTCATTCAGCAATACTCGAAAAAGAACTGATAATTTTAAAAGAGGATATTTAAGTGGTTGAATAAAATTCAGAGAACTGAACATATAATATGAAGGCCAAAATAGTAACTTTTACAATTAATTTGATGGGAAAAATAAAAAAAAATCTTACCTCTTAAATTCAACACTTTGTCATTTCTCCTCATAACTCATCTACTAAAGGCAAAAATTGTTAATATTTGCTGTTCCCTGCACGTTTGTAAAAAAAACTGCTGTTTAATTATTACCAGTGACAAGGTAAGTATAACGTTATATTCTGAATTTATTTTTAATTGTTTATTATCCCTGGATTCCTTTATCAAAAAATCAAATTTATCTTATTTTATGTCATAATTTTCAAAATAGTGTTAAACTAATACAAACATAATTTAAAATAGCTTACGAACAATTTTGGCAGTATTTTTCTGAAATAAATGATATTAATATTAGTGTTTAAAAGGGGGGTTATAATGCTCTACTGCTCTATTTTGAGATTATACCAATTATAATTAAAAAAACACGGAAACTTATCAAAGATAGGGTTTACGGTTAAATGCGAGAAGACAACTAGATAGTGAAAAGATAAACAATTAATTAAAAATGATGACCAGTTGTCTACTTATGAAATAGCAATTTCTAATGACGAGTTAAAACATTCAAAAGAATAAAGATTCAGAAGTTGAGGATACTGGGGCTATATCTACTCCATGGGCTATATAAAGAATACTCTGGAAGTGATAGTCCATATTCCTATACATATACGAGTGTTACATATATTTATGAATTTATCCGAGAATTGTAGAATAATTTGCAAAATATTTTTTATAATCGAAATCCTATACTTATGCGGTGCTCCCATAAAAAATATCGCAATTAGACTAGCAGTTTTTTTAATCCTATTAATATTATAAAGGCGAAAGTTTGTAAGTATGGATGTATGGATGTTTGTTACTCTTTCACGAAAAAACTACTGGACGGATTTGGATAAAACTTTACAGCAATATAGGTTATACATCAGAATAACACATAGGGTACTTTTTACTGGGAAAACTTCTCACTCCCACGGGATACCGACTTCCACGCGGACGAAGTCGCGGGCGTCCACTAGTATCAAAATAAATTAAAGAGTTATGTAACTAAACAAAATGTCGTATTTGGCTTTCCTAAGGCTATTTGTCATGTCAGTAAAAATATTTTTATTTATATAGGTCATATCACCACATACAATATTATTTTTTAAATAATAAATTTTTGTAGCCAGTTTTATTTTTTCTTTTGTTGCGGAAACATTTTCATCTTTCCTTTTCCTTCAATACTTTTACATATATTTGTTTGTTTTATTTTCAAAGTTTATTTTTTATTTGTGTTGCAAATACTTTTGGTATTTATAACATATCTAATAAGAGCAGTAGGTAACGCATTGTAAGTGCCAAATTATTTTTTACCTGTTAAGCTGACCACCTACCTACTATTGTTATATTAACTTTTATCAAGTACGTAAATAAGCCCACCTAAGGGTTAATCGCCCCTCCCTGATGTAAATTGATGAGAAAGGATACTATTTATCGATCGTTGTTCCTTAGGCACCCAAGATAAAAAAATCTTTAGTTATACTTTGCGAATGCTTCCTTAGTCACAATAATCACAGACCGAGTCTAACTACTTCATCATGATAGTGTACAATAAAGTAGAATATAAAGAAGTAATATCTATAAATAATTATATTAGCTTCCGACACTTGTTTTTATTCAATCATCTGGTGTAAGTACATAAATATTTGTAATTGATCATGTTTCTATTAGATTTGCATAAAGATAGTTATCGGTTAGCAGAAATCTAGCATGTAACCTCAGAAAGAACGCTATCAGTTATCAGCGGCCTATTAGATAACATAATGCGCATTCATTTAATCTTATAAAGGTATATTAAAGAAAATTACATTCGTCGGCGTCGCTATGTCTGTTAGGTCGTTAAACAATGGCATTTAGTATACTTATTAATTAAATAGCAGGTGTGGTGATTTACGTATTACTCATAGTGAAACATACGTTACATGTTATTTCTTCATTCGTATTTTCATTCAGCACAATACTATTGGTCCTCTGTTTTGTTCACTTTAAGTAGTGTAACAAAATTATATTCTTTCTACGGAAATAAAATACATAATGTCCGAAAATGTTCTCAATGTAATTGGTTATATTCATTGATTTTGTGAATCATTTCTTTTTAATTTATTTTCTCCACAAACTTCTTCACTTAATCAGTGTGCTTAGTATAAACATAGTTTGTATGATATCACTTACATTTAATTTTCAGATTAAATGTAAAGCTATTCTGTTATAACGTCGGGGGCAGCTTTGTCACGGCATAGGGATTCAATGGTTTTCTATATTGGTCTTAATGGTTTGCCACTTGTGTATAGTGTTGCTATACCTTCGTTGTCTCAAATACTACATAAAACGGGGCCTTAAGCTACTCGTCATGGAATATGAGCAATGTATGTAATGTTGTCTAATATTTATTTATTTATATTCTTTATATGTAATATTGTATATAACCACATTTACCAAAAGAATACATACTCTAGGAATACACATCTTCTATCACATGATACGAAATTATAAATGCGAGTTTGTAACGATGTAAGTATGTTTATTGCTCTTTGATGCAAAACTAGCTCGGTGGCGTAGTGGATAAGCGCATTGGGCCAACGTGGAGGGTCATGACCCTCCACGCTGGCCCAATGCGGATTGGAGGGCCATGGCCCATTCTCCTTAACCATCCATAAGGAAGGCCTGCAGTGGGGACGTAGAAAGGCTGGTGGTGGTGGTGGTGACGCAAAACTACTGAACGGATTTTATAAAAAAAATATTTATATAATAATAAGCCTGAATTAACATATAGACTAATTTATCTCCCACTGAACGCTTCCCTAGGGACAATGTCAAGTTATCGTGTGTGTCATGCGAGCGAAAGCTAGTACAATAATTATGATACTCATGGTTGTAAGCCTGTATTAGGATACTTTAACAATAGTCCTTAATTTACTCATATCATGCGGGGCATGTAAGTTGAACCAAAATGGAGATTTACCGACTCGTAATAACCACGCGCGCGTCTCACCCCCATACCTTGATTGAGACCCAAAAATGTGCTAATTGCGCAGTCCTCATTTTAATTCAACTTACGTGCCGTATATTATCTCAATGGAACAAGTTTTGATTGAAAGGCAAAGCACTGCTCAAAGAGACTTCCGTTAAGTTTATGAATTCGGAAACTTCGTGCAGTAGTTTTTGCATTAATTTGTAACATACATATATATCCTTAGGCATTTATATGTAATATTAAGTCAAGTTATAACCAATTGTTTCATTTAAGAAATGACTATTCATATTATATATTTTAATAATAAACCGCAGTCGTTTTCACCACATTGTATTTCATTTTTAGTGTACGATCAACACCGTCTGATCGGCGAGTCCTGCTATCGCTTGTTAGCCAAGAACGGTCAATTTATCTATCTGAAAACTAGAGGCAGGTTGGACGTGGATCCCAGCACCAGAGCTGTCACCAGTTTCGTTTGCACCAACACAGTTGTAGACGAGCAAGAGGGAAAACACTTGATCAAAATGATGAAAAAGAAATTTATGCTCATGGTTAACAACGTAGAAGAACCATTACCCGAAGAGGAAGTAAAAGATGTAAGATTCTACTTTGAATTGCTTAACACTAAGTTCTTAATTCACATCTTTAGTGAGTGATTATTGGACTAAATCACCCACATTCCTAGCTTGTTGCCTTAAACTTGTTAATGGCTTGAACAAGAAAATACAGCCCCCGATTGAGTAGTCTCTGACTTGATATATCTATGTACGAATGCTTTATTAGCGTAACAGCTAACATTCTTACCATTTGACGTTTCCTTAAGCTATGACATGAAAACTCGTCAAATAAAATGAAGTACAAAATATTAATGTTTAGCCAAATTTCAAGCACCATAACTTAATCTTATCTGATCATTTTTTTTATATTTTTAAAATATAATTTGTAAATGTCATGATTTTTGCTGAATGTTTCTCTTCAAATAATAAAAAACCAAGCAATCATTTCAGTAAAAAAAAATCTCAGTAAAAAAGTGGTACTTCAGACAGAATACTTGTTTTAACAAACACCTTAAATCAATTCAATGGTAGATAATTCATGAAAATATTACTCGTCATTACAGGCCAACGACCAAAATTTGTCAATTGAAGATCCAAGGCAGTTGGAGAAAGTTATTCTTCATTTAGTGACCAACTTACCATCACCGCAACCCTCTGATGAAGGTTGTGGAGCGTCTTCCAATTGCCTGCCATCATCGGAGCACTTAGCCATCATACCGCCCAAAAAAGAAAGAATCGTCAGTGCCATCGAAAAAATTTACAGTGTAATCAACCATTTTCCAAATGAGATGGAGAATAATCATAATTTGCGCCCGAGTAAGGTAGAAATCACCGATTCTTCAAATGTAGTACCGAACGCTCACTTCACTACATTTCACAAGTCATCAACAAGCCACTCTCCACAGCTTGCTATAGAATCCAAACATTCATCTAAATCAACGTGGAGTACAGAGAATCCATGCCCTAAATTGCCCAATTTCAGCAATGTTTACCAGCACCGAAACACCGATAATAACGGATCTATGGACTTAAATCTGACTTTGAATAATACTCCAATGACAACACGAGGTGACACTTTACCGACGGAGGAAACTTCATCGTCCAGTTTTTGTCCTGAAAATTCCATAATTTTTAGCAAAGAGCACGACCCTTTACCCGGTTCGAAAGTAAGTGGTGTCAAACGTCCTATAGAGTGTTCTGAAAATACAGAAACAGAAGCTATAATTAAGAAAAAGAATGCTTCTGTTAATATCGGTGATGGTTCACCAGAACAAACCGTTGTGAGCGAAATTTCAGCGTTGGATTTGTTGTTCGATGAGGACCGTAAGTTGAACACTGTTTCTTTTCATCTATATTTTTATTTTCAAAAAATAATACTCATCAACCAAACTTTGAGTTTTGGTAAGTTATGCTATTGGTCTCGGTTATAATCCTAGTAATTAACACCTACCAACACTTCACACTGTTTGCTTTCTTTCTCTATAGCTAATCATATCTTAAAGACTTATACCTCAATATGTTGATGACGTATTTTTTAATTTATTCGCCAATCATGACGTTGATGCGAAACCAATAAACTGCCTAAAGGTAATGAGAAATATGTTGTCTTCTTTTTCAGTATTCGACATGTCGTTTTCACAAATAGACTCAACGGTAAATTCTATGGCGCATAATCTTGATCTGCCTTTTCCTGATTTATTGGTAAGATTTTTTGCAGTATATCTTTTATTTAACAAATTACTAGTGGTGCATAGTGGTTCCACTTTACATTGTTTGGTTGGATAATGGTAAACCCGGTGGCTTTTTGAGTGCAGTAGAGCTATAGCGAAAGTGTATTTCTAATTTTACATCACTTATAAAATAACTGCTTTGGCGAATAACATAATTACTATTATATGTAAAAATATTATAATTATAGAACACCGAATCAAGACTTTTGATTTAGCTCTGCTAAAGGAATGCAATGGCGAATTTATATACTTATGCAAAGCTGACCATTTTCATGATTGTGACTTTCCCGATGCTTTACAGGTATCCGAAGAAGTTCAAGATATATTAAAAGACATCGAAGATAAATCGAATGGAAATCACAACTCAAAATCTGGCATATAAAAATGATAATTTTTCAAAACACGCATATTCACATGCTCACTAAAAAAATTACTTTATGAAGAATGTAACTTATTAAGTCGTCTCGTAGTGGTAACGGCTTGTCTAGCAATTCATTGAATTGTCAGCACATAAAGTGTCAGCTAAGCTTATTGAAAATATTAATGTTCAAAAGCTTAGCTGACACTTTTTATCTTGGAAAAACATTGACATAAATTCCATCGCCTACCTAGTAAGCGGTTCTTCTTGAATCCCATAAAAGCTCTATTTTATATTGCCGTATCTATCTAATCGTCGTGTATTTTGATTTACTATATTTTAGACTCATCTCCGATCTAAAATGCCGAGCAAAAGCTCCGGGCCTCTTAATAAAAACCTTGATATCTTCCAAAATAATTCGTATTTAAAAGCGAATCATATACATTTTTTATTATAACTTTTATTCGTCACATTATATGAAATATCTGTTACTATTAAGAATTTAGTTTATGCGTCTACTTTTATTCATTTATTTCACCACTCCACAGGATCGTTATTCTAACGTGTGCACAGAAATAATGATTAACATCTGTGTGCCAATGTTGATCTTACTTGTTACAATCGAATAGTAATAAATTTCTTTTACCGGATGAAAATTAGTAATAAAGTAACAAGAAATTAATTATTTAAAAAAAAGAGCCACCGCGTAACTCAAATCCACAGCCAAAAGATATTTTTTTTTATACCTAATGACCTTACAAAGTTTAAATATTATAAAAATGTCAGACAATCAAAGTTACATCGAAAACTTAAGTTAAATACTTGATTGAATATATAAATAGAAATTTTCTATTCATTTCAGTTGGGCACTAGACTGAAATTTAGAGAGACTTTTCTACATTTCAGTTTTGTGTCCAATCATATAACGTACCTGGCGTTTTATATTGTATAATCGAACCGATACCATATCGGCATTTGAGTAAAATAGTTTTCTCAACGACATTTCTTTTTTATCGAAATATGACACATGTATTTTATGCAATTATGTATTTTGCTGTTCTGGCTGAGTGCCATAATGTCAATTTTTTATTAATTGTTTACTAATTTAATGTTAATTTAATACAACCAACAGCACGTCATGTTAAACACTAATCTAAAATTTCTCGGCAATGTAACATTAACGCATAGTTAAACAAGTAGTAACCCACAAAACCAATTTTTTTCTTATGGACATTCAAAGTAACAAATAACTCTTAGTCGATTAATATGGAAAAAAGACTTTTTCTTCAGAGCAGAATAACTTATTACTTTTTCGAAAAGAATAAAGAGGTGTTTTTCTGTTTTAAAGAACAATTTTGGTTATGCGGGTTACTACATTTATTTGCTTTCGAGCGTCGAATTTTGGTAATCTGACGTGCTGTTATGTATATCATATATAATATCTAATATAATATAATATATATATATAACATTCTCCAATTCTATTTGGAATGTTATAAATTGTAATCATTGCTTTGTACATAGCACTATTATCAATTTATTCTATTTATTCAAATAACAACAATTCATTTCTATAGGTAACTATTATAGTTGTTAAGACTAGCGTTATGTTATGTGTTAGTGTAAAACGTTATTATTATAATTCTTATAGTTGTAATTCGTAGCGTGAGTGTCCATCGTAATTTCCCTCAATTAATATTCCTTTTTTATATTTGTCTTAATAATTTACATAATGTCTGACGTTTTAGTTTAAATAAATTCTGTAGTTTAAAATTAGTTAAGGAATTTTTAAAAGAAGCACGCTTTCTGCTCTCCATCTCAAAAACAGTTGAACGTACAAAAACTTGTAAAACAAAATTGTTAACTGAATGCTCCGTAGCATTAATCCATTGATATTGCCGTCGTTAATAGAATGACGAGGAAATTTTGAAGAACGTAAGTTCCGTCGCTGACACGAAATTTCATGAGATTGCGAGAACTTTTAGTACGCCAAAATGAAAGTGTATATGAATCCCTCATATTAAACATTGAAAGAAATAATTTCTTTTCAGTTTTTAAATGACTGAATTAATTAAGACTTTTCAGTTTTTATATGGCTGAATTAATTAAGACTTCGTTTACGATTTGACATTAATATACCTTACTGGAAGTTTATTTTTGGCGAAACATAGTGGTGACACTTATTTTAGTAGTCTTTTTTTAACGTGGTGTCAGTAATCAGTGATTATGTCCTATTGAACCATATTCTTTGAATAAAACATTGAAATAATGTACTCAATTCTAGAAGAAAGCGCGGAAGTAACTTGCTAGTAGATTCCCCTCCCTTTTTACACAACTGTTGACGCCAAAGACAATACTGTCTATTTGTGACATTGATGTCTTGCTGTGATATAAATCACTGTTATGTTACTTTTAGTTGAGCAGTAATTAAAAAATATGTATCACCCTAGTCACTGAAAATCGAGTCAATAATTTCAGAACCCAATGAATGCGAATAGTACCATTAAGTAAAACTAATTATATCAAAATCTTATTGTGATGGTATTTTAAGCGTGAAATAGAAGGTTTTTTTATACCAAAATGTTACTCGCAACAGCGCAAATAATATATCAAATGATGGATTTACTTTATTTTATAGTCAGGATAAAAATTGTTCAACTTTGTCTGGATAAATAAAAAATCGCTATTAATTGCTGCTTAGATACCGCCATAATGATACTCCATCTTAAATCAACTATTTTATACCTACCTAGTAAAATTTATTAAAGCTTACTGAAAGTGCTTGCTTTTCTAAAATAAACTGTAAAGTTATCACAATAGATTCCATTATTCACTACCGTGATAGCTGGTTATCATCTCTTTCAACATCGGATTACTGATCAAATAAAATATTTTCTTTAATTATAGCAAGTATTATGATGATAGATAAGAAAAGAGACAGAAAATGCCAGATACTATTGGTGAAAAAACTATATCTTTCAAATTACAATGTAAATACACAATACCACCATTTTCAAAGTTTTTAAGGTGTGACGTCACGGTTTCATTGGCTTAATTTTATAATTAGGTTCTTTGCCAACGTCTTTTCATATCATGACCGTAACAGGAACGTGCCAAGCAAAAAGAAGATCATAAACGGGTCGTAAACTTACGGCTTTCGTGCCGCGTATCATTTACAAAAAATATTTTACTACCGAAATCCTTTAGTTAAAATTTCTGACTATAACCGAGAGATAGATATTTAATGTAGTTATTTTATTATGAATTGTAGCTTTTTATGTGACTATATTACTGATCTGACTATAACCGAGAGATAGATATTTAATGTAGTTATTTTATTATGAATTGTAGCTTTTGGCTCTTCCGTCTCATAAGGTTGCCTGTCCTAGGTTGTTCCATCAATGGCAAATGCCGATATTAGTATGTCGTCGAACAATTTAATGGGTGGCGTCCTGCTATTAAATACATAGAAAATGTTTATTGTGAACGAGTAATAAAAAGGCTACATGCGGATATAACACGTAGTTGTTCCGGTTTAATGAGCATAACAGACAGTATCGTTTGTTTTCGTGCTTGATAAGTTCGTGACACGGTCCTGGTATGGCACGGTGTAATGGAAAATATTCTTTGAATAACATTTATTTATTTAAATTTTTATAGAGCCACTTTTAGATACCAAAATACTGTAGTTCTATTCTTTTATTAAAACAGCCTGGAATTTGTAGTCTAACGCAGTATTGTAACATCATAGATATTTAATTAGATAAAATATACTACAAAAAGTAATAAAAGGTTTTATTGCATTGAAGCACTATAAGGTGACAAGGCTACGCTCGGCGACGAGTTCAAGGCTGTTTTTCTACAGAATATCTTAACTGACCGTGATGTTCCCACCTTAAACATTCTCCATAGAATAAAGTCATTATACCTTTGTGTCGATTATCTCTCCAAAGACTAATGACTAGTTTACACATAATTAAGTATTAAGTAGATTATAAAATTAATTTTAAGTGATCAAATACGTGTAAACTCAAATATAGCAATAAGTAGCAAGCAGAAATTTAATTATAAATAAGCTCATAAGTAGTTAACTAAATTTTAACTTGCTGCTTAATATTAACTAGCTTAATCTTTATTAAAAATAGAACCAAATAAGAAAAACCTAACCGTGTTTCTGTGGACAACTTGCATGCCCTCATAGAATAGTCCAGTACTCCAGTAGCTCTTCTTTCTACCTATTTTAGTGCACAGTAGATTGCAAAAAATATATATAAACAAATTAAAAATAATATTATTAATATGGATATCATTTTAAGAGTTTAAAATGACCTGATACTTTGCTTGTGCAAGATTCTATGCCTCATCCTCATAGCAACTTGACGGTCAGCTTATTCTTGCTTTTTCAATTCAGCGTTTTCAGAAATTTTAGTGCGTGGTACCGAATAAAATTTTGCCAATGAATATTCTGACATCTCTTCAATTTGAAGGTATCGAACGAATATAGTTTCGTCCACCAAGTATTTTTTTTCGCCTAATTTATTATTTAGCTCTGATACTTTGAATTTAAGTCGCTATTTTAGATAAAACTATTTCCTACCATTTTAAGTATTTTATTGATATTTAATCATTCTTAATCATCGGCAGTTCAGTACATATTCGCAAACATAATTAACGCCATTCGATTAAGTATTAAAGTATCTCATTAATAGTCACTTATATATTATATATCCGTGCGACGATTGATTCTCCATTCAAATATATTAAAAAAAACCGGAGACGTAAGCCGGACTCATGCACAATAGGTCTCGAACCATTATCCATAAAAAACGCGTTTTTTTTGGAAAACAGCTAATTGTAACATTTTATTTATTTGCTCCATTAACAATCCCCCATGAAATTATATTATTGGAAAAACCGTAAATTGAAAACGAAAGTTACTTTGTTCGATAAAAATCGGAAAAAATAAAGGCTACAAATATAACAAGTACCAAAATCATTTCCGTGTTAGGTACACACCTACATAA